TTAGGGCTGTTGTACATAGGGTCGCTATGAGTCGCAGGCGACTCAACGGCACATAACAACAACAACATTCTATGTATTGTAAATTTAACCTCTGTGATGTTAATAAGGCAGAATTACAAATGGATATGTGGAGATATGATTCTCTGTTATGGTTTTTTTTCTCTTCTTTTAGGGGATGGGCAGATATCCTAAAACACAATACTAGCAAAATTATAACCCTAAATATATTTTTATATACTTCTTTTTCATTCAGTGTCTTGCTGTTATGTAATGTGGAGAGGAAAACATGTCTTACTTTCAGTCTGTAGGATTTTAAATCTCTTATCCTAGGTGATCTTAAATCTGAGCATGTCTGTGTTATGTTTATGTCAAGAAAAGTCTGAATAAGCTGTTAATTTAAAAATATTTTCTTTTTTGGTTCCATAGAAAACTATATATACAATAGCACTGAATTCAATAAGTCTGAAACAAAATAAGAGTGAGTCAGAGTTAATATTATAAAGAACTATATTGGAAGCAGGCGTGGCATCCACTGTTGATAGTTGTAGAGGGGTTTCAGGCCTTTTGTTCATAAAGTCACTATGAGTTGTGCTCAACTCGAAAGCAATCAGAAACAACAACATCTCATTTTGAGCTGTGGTGCTGGAGAAGAGTATTGAATATACCATGGACTGCTAGGAGAACAAACAGGTTCATCCTAGAGAGGGTGAGACCAGGCTGCTCCTTGGAGGCAAAGATTCTGAGGCTTCATCTGACATATTTTGGGCATGTTGCAAGGTGAGACCAGTCCTTGGAGAGGGGACGTCATACTTGCGAGAGCAGAGGGACAGCACAGGAGAGGAAGACCCTTAATGAAATGGATTGATTCAGTGACTGAGGTAATCGAGGTAGCTGTGTCAGAGACAATAAGATTGGCATAGGATAGAGCAGTGTTTAGGGCTGTTGTACATAGGTTCGTTATAAGTTGCATGTGATTCTATGGCATATAACAACATCTCCCTCTCATTTTCGTTGAGTCACTACCAACTCCTAGCAACCCTCTAAAGTGTTTCTGAGGTTGTGAATCACAAGAGGTAAATCTTAAGGAACAGCTGGTGGATTTGAACCACCAAAGAAAGAGGTGCCACAGTTGGGTTAGCAGTGTTGTGGACTATACCACCAGAGCTCCCTAATGATATGATTGGCCTTATATACCAGGGCTCCAATGAATTAAAGTTGACTTGATGGGATAACAGCAACAAATTAAGAGTAGTCTCTCCTCAGGTATGTTTCCTGCATGGTATATGTATTTGAACTTTCAGGCAAAAAGGCTGGAACACTTTTTGTCAAACCTTTAACAGACTATTTGATTATAGTCACCAAACTTAGACCAGTGTGGCCTGCCTTACCTGCTGACTTGTTTGAACTTGTCAGTATCCAAAGCTATGTTATTTTCATGTTCTGCTTATATTGTTTCCCAACAACTATCTTTAAATGTATCAGTCTACAAAGCCAGTAGCCTGAGAACATGCCTGTCTAAGCTCTGGTTCTCTAGCTTCCTCTGTCTTGAAGTCTGACTTACAAACCTGGGATGTGCCTCTCTACAAGCATGTGAGCCCTTATCTTAAAATAAATTTCTCTCTCTCACACACACATTTGATTCAAATCAAAACATAACTCACCAGAAGTGGGTTTTCAGATGCTGTACATTGCATAGAAAATGATGGATTCAAACTACCTGCCTTTGGGCGGGCAGCCCAACACTTTACCCACTAGATCACCAGTGTGTATACAAATATAAACATAAACACACATATAAGTACTTATTTTTTATATAAATGTTTAATTAGTTTGGTTTCTTTAGAAAACTCAGCCTAAGACACCCCTTTACTGAAGGCCACAGTGCTTATACAACTTGTCCAAGCAGAACGGTGGCAGAACTAAAACTGTACTTGTGTTAGACAGAGTACTCTTTAAATAGATCATGCTTGGAGTGCCCTTTTAATACTATTTCTAAAAGGAGAAGGGCATATCAGTAAGTGTTGAATGTGATTTGAACCCCAAATTAAGGGATTTTACAACAAAAAAAAAAGTTAAAATGGCACAATCTAGAATGGCCAGAATTTTTGACAATTTGGGAATGTAACATTGTTGAGGATGTGTTTGGTTTTGTTCTTGCCTGTGAATCTTTCTGATAAATGGCATATTATTGTTGTTATTACGTGTTGAGTTAGGATTGACTCATAGTTGACTCTCTGGCATGTTTTCAGAGGCTGTAAATATAGGAGCACAGATTACCCATCTTCTCCCTCTGGAGCAGCTGATGTATTCAAACTGTGTGCTTTTCCGTTGGCAGCGCAACTCCTTGCCACTAAGCCACCAGCCCTCCATTGGGATATTATTAGGATATACATTTAAAATACTTGCTTGTTAATAAAACTAAAGAAGTACAAGTTAGAATTGTGGATTCCTGGACTTCCAACAGAACAGATATCTCAGAGAAAGTACAACCAGAATACTCCTTGAAGGCAAAAAATGGCAAAGCTTTGTCTTTCATACACTGGACATGTAGCTAAGTAAGGTTATTAACTGGAGAGGGCATCATGCTTGAAAAGATTGTCAGTGAAGGAGGAAGAGCTTCAATGAGATGGACTGACACAGTGACTTCAGCAATGGGCTCAAGTGTTTTGAAAATGGTGAGGTTGGCACAGGATAGGGCAGGGTTCAGGTACGCTGTTCATAGGGTCACTATGAGTCATACTTGACTTGATGACACCTAGCAACAACAGGCATTCCTAGGGATCTCTGGTGCCATGTGGTTCAAATCCACTAGCTGCTCCACAGGAGAAGGATTGGCAATTTCCTCCCGGGCAATTTACTGCCTCTGAAAACCCACTGGAGGGTCAGATATAGACTGGTTCTGATGGGACCAGAAGTTCATAGCATGCTGTGCTGCTTTCCAAAAGGCTTCCCTTCAGTCGCCAGAGGTTCAAATTTGCCCCTGGCTCCTTGGGGAAAAGATGAGCAGCCTCTTCTTGCTGCAATTTTTACGGCCTTGGAAATTCAACAGAGGGTCACCATGAGTCAGTAGCAGTTGGATGGCAGTGAGTCATTTTTAAGTCATTGCAGTGGAGAGGAAGCAGGAAGCTTTCAGCACAGTTATTTAGCATACGAAAGGAAACAGAACTTCACAGCCTATGAAATTCCAACTAAGAATAAAGATAATACATATGGCAAAAGTGATAACATTTTTCATTAGGAACTTCCATGTGGGAATAAAGCGAAATGAGGAATCCCAGCAATAGGTTATCATTTTCAAAGCCTGGTGAGTAAACTAACCACCGACCTTTTATTAAGTTCAATAAACAGAATGAGCCTTCCTCCAGGACGTTGATGGCCATTACAAATGTCTAACCATAAGAACCATAAAGCTGTAACTCTCATGCAAGTGCATACTCAAAAGTCCCTTTGTCAAACTCTTCAACTTCATCTTCCCATGTGGAGGAAGGCATGCTACTGTATGGATCTAGCAGGATTTTAAAGCATCTGATGATAAGAAGTCCCAAGAAGATACACAAAATCCCTACAAATGCAAAGCCAGTTTTTTGCTCCAGAGTCAATGAGAAGGTGGATACTTCATTGACACTCATCTTAGCTGAAGAGTTGCCACAGAAGGTGCTACTCATTCTTCGCTCTCACATCATTGTGGTTCTTCAGAATTCCTTTTGGAGTCACTGGTTGGCCTAGGGACAAAATCAGATTCAATTTAGTTTTATCTGTGTATGACATTGGCAGGTCATTATTTTATAAAATCTGGCATTTTTCAAACCCTCTTGACTTAAATCATTAAAGATGTTTCTAAATATCCTCACAGATGGGTCAGAATGAAATTAGCATTGGAGATACTACTTATACTATAAGAATGAAAGAATTGTTTTTGTATGTCCATTAGCACTGTGCCAAGATATCCTAAAATTAAACCAAATCTGCACATAGATTTTCAAATAGCACTAAAAGTTCTTGATTCACTGCCAGGTAGTTATGTCACAACTTCTTTGACAGGAATTGCTATCTAATTTTCACTTCATCTATGTAGATGTTGGCTGCTATCAAGTTGAGCCCAACTCATGACAAGTCCAAGTGTAATGGAGCAGAATGGCCAGGCCTGTCTTCTGAGATACTGCTGGGAGGTGCAAACCACTACCTGTTCACCTAGTAGTTGCTCACTTCACCATTTTTACCACACAATTATGCTGTGTGAGCTGGTCACACAGTTTAAGTGCATATTTCAAATTTCATGTCCTGTGCTGTTTTGTTTCCTATAGATGCTCATTCTTTAAGTGGACGTAACATCTTCTCTTGTTTTCATCCTCTTCACTTTTATGTGTTTATACTTGTTATTTTTCTCTCCAGTGTTATCCTAAACAGTATGTCCTAAAGAGAGAAGCTTTGTTTTTGAAATTATGTTAATAAAAGTCGTGCTCAACATAGCAACTTGCACATAACAAGCCCCAGTAGCTGGGAATCATTATTCATCCTCTCATTATTTCTATTAGCTGTCAGAACAGTCTAAATAAACACAAAATCTAAGTTAAACAGCATGTTTGCTATGTAAATTCTACTTCAAAACAATTCTCTTTTCAACCAGATTCCCACTCTTAAGTAGCTATTATATTGAAATTCTAAAACAGCAACGGCTGTACTAAAACAGTGTGCTGAATAGATGTAAAATATTCCCCTCTTTGATGTCTTAATAAGCTAATTATCATATAGCGAAATGAAAAGATTATTAACTTATAGTCACCCATCTTGAGAATAATGTCAACAAAAGGCTTCTCATCAAGTCACTGAAAGTAGCAGGCTGTTACTGTTTCCTTTTCTGTTGTTGTTTTTACTGATTAATTTAAAGAATTTCTATTAAGATGACTGACACTGGAGGGTTTTTTCCTTAATTTTCAGAAGAAAACTTAGAACAAGGCATGGTAAGCAATAAGTGGAAAGGAATAGTTAGAAAGCCACAGAGCTTCCAAAACTGTTCACCAATTAAAACCAACCAGAGAGCTCTGGTGGCACAGTCTATAGAGGGTTGTGCTGCTAACTCAAAGGCCACACCTCTCTGATAGTTCGAATCCACCAGCAGTTCCTCAGGAGAAAGTTAGACTATCTCCCTCCATTTGATTTACAGCCTTGGTAAGCTATGGGTCAGTTACAACTGACCTGTAATCATTGTTGTGTTGTTATTGTTATGTATCATCGAGTCAGAACTGACCCGTTGCGGATCCTCTAGTGGGGTTTCAGATACAGTAAATCACACAGGAAGAGATTGTCCATCCTGCTCCATGGACCAGCTGGTGGATTCGAACCACATGCCTTTGGGATTGCAGCACAGTTGTAGGTAAGTAAATACCAATCAAGATTTTATGACTCTGCAATGCAAAAGAGCTCTCCCTTCAAACCTTAAGTGACTGGAATAGTCAATACATTCTGGAATGTATTGGTTATTTGATATTTTTCCATTTAAAAAGCAGGGAGGGATTCATGTTGTGAAATCCTTTCTTGAACACTTTCACATCAAATAATGTTTTTATTTTCCTGTTGTTGTTTATTGTTATGTGCCATTAAGTCACCTGCAACTCATAGCGACCCTATGTACAATAGCTCTGAACCCCTCCCTATTTTGAGTCAGTCTCACTGTCTCTGACACACCTACCCCCATTACTCCTGTTACTGTTTATTTTCCTAGATGTGGAAAATTCAAATATTTTTCTAAGCATGAAATGAGCCCTGGTGGTATAATGGTTAAGTGCTTGGAATGAGCCCTGGTGGTATAATGGTTAAGTGCTTGGCTTCTACATGAAAGGTCATCCGTTTTAATCCACCAGCAGATCTATGGGAGGAAGACTGGGTGATCTGTTTCCATAAAGCTTGCAGCCAAGAATATCCTATAAGACAGTTCCATTTTGTTTATTTTGTCATGTAGTGTTACCTTGTTGTTACATCCAAACTTGCGTAAAAACACTTAACAACAAATTTTATTATGATACCATAAGATTATTCACTACTTTCTAAGGATCACTTAAGTGGCTCAGAGTTATCCTTCTGAACACTGTACTATCTGTCCTATGAAAGGTATAGGAGACTGGGCTGAAGGTCCCAGTTACCTTGGAATTTAACCACAAGTTGTTTGGTTTGAGTTCTTGGGATTTTTTTTTTTCCTGACTAAAATCTCTGTAACATATTTTCTTGCTTTTTCAATTAAAAGTCCTTTAAAAAAATCCATACACAAAATGTTGAAGCAGGAGTATAGTCACATAACTGACTGATTCAATTGCACAAATTGTATACATAAATTTTTCAGGAGGCAAGTGAGTAAAAGGAGGCAGAAACCTGAGTTTACAGGTAGATACTGCGATGTGCTCAGCAAAGGAGGCCTAGCCCAGCAGCTGAGATTGCTTCCAGGAGTCTGCAGCTGTCGGCTTCTTCCATAATCAACTGCAGAGAAGCATCGCATCCAAGGTCACAGCTCTTCCTAGGACTTAACACATCCAATGACTTATTGAAAGGAGGGTAAAATACCTGGCCATTTTTGACACAAGGGGTAACCCTTAAGGGCTGTTCCAGCTCTGGAGTTGTGCACGGGACAGCCCTGTCTATTACTGATTGGGCTTACAATATTCAAGCCCCCTCTTGCCTCAGTCCTCAGTGTCCCACAGTTGTTGATCCCAACCTACATATGGACAATGTACCAGAGCCTGACTTCTAGGGAACCAAATCTGCATCACTGACATCACAAAAATGAAAGCACCTGCATGGTTTTAACAATCTGTTTATTTTTTTAGCTTATCATACAACTGTATAGAAATAGCCTGGTTTTGTGTATCATGGACTCAGAACGGACCCATAGAGGACCCTCCAGTGGGTTTTCAGAGGCAGTTTAACTTCACAGGAGGAGATTTCCCATCTTTCTCCTTTGGAGCAGCTGATTGATTTGAACCTTGTGTCTTTGTAAATGCAACACAGCTCCTTACCATTTGGCCACCAGAGCTCCCTAGAAACAGCCTAAACAATTTATAATTATAATACTGTCTAGTTTTTAAAAAAATCACAATATAGCTGCAGACATAGAATTATAGCTGGTCACTGGAGTTAAATCTCTTCTCTCTTAGCTATTTATTAAACCCTTAGACTCTATTATGCCTATTAACCTTTATGAGTCAACAGCAAGCATTAAGAAGAATTTTTAGATTCAATAGACACTGAGACAGAAGAGGACCTAAAACATTTTGACAGAGGGTCAAGAACTGTAGTCTTCAATATGGATTGAAGCTTAATATCAAGAAGACAAAGATTCTCACTGCTAATCCAATTGGCAGCACCATGATAGATAGAGAAGAGATTGAGGTTGTTGACAATTTTACAGATTGCTTGGCTCCACAATCAACATCTTGGCATCAGCAGTCAGGAAATCAAAAGACAAATTAAACTTGGATGAATGCTGTCAGAGACCACTCCAAACTGTTAGGGAGCAATGAATGATATCATTATAGAGACTAAAGTGTGCCTGATCCAGGCCATGGTCTTCACAATTGCTTGCTGTGAATCACATAGTTGGATATTGACTAAGGATGTTAGAAAAATTGATGCCTTTGAGTTGTAGTGCAGGAGAAGAGTATTGAACCTACCATGGACTGCCAAGAAAACAAATAGGTCTGTCTTGGAGGAGGTGAAACAAACTGCTCCTTGGAGGCAAGGATTTTGAAGCTTCATCTCACATACTTTGGGGCCATGGCCAGGAGGGACCAGTCCTTGAGAAGGATATCATGCTTGGAAGGTTTGAGGGATATCACAGGAGAGGAAGACACTGGATGAGATGGATTGACTCAGTAACTGGAGTAACAGGTTGTAAGTTTGTCAGAGTCAGTGAGACTAGCTAAGGATAGGGCAGGCTTCAGAGCTATTGTATATAGGATCGAGGAGAGTCACAGGTGACGTGCTAGCACACAGCAACAACATGAGTAAGGCACTTGATTCATTTGTTGCTGTTAAATGAAAACAATATGTTTTTCCCAACTAGAAAGACAAAATATCCTTTATTTAATTTTTAGCTTATCTAACATATACCAAATGATTCTTAGTGAAAATTCCTGACATATTGTAGGTGTTTAATATTTTAATTTAATTAAAATATTCTATTAAAATAGGTAATTTTCTATCAATGAAGGTCTGGCTTTTGATTTTTTACCATCCCAGAAACATGAAAATACATTTCATTGAAATGAAATGAAGCAAAATTATATTTCATTTCAAAACACGGCCTTCATGATAACCTCATTTAGATTTTCAGCTTTTCTTTGTCATTTTCTATGAGATTATTTAATAAATTATTCCCAGGAAGATGGTTTGTAGTGTTTCAAAAGAAAGGAGAGAGGATCCTTCCTAACAATCATGTGTTTCTTTTTCTTTTCCGAGATATATATTCACCATGGTATGATGACTTTCACCTCCAGGAAGTAGAGAGTTAAATTTTGTAATTAAGGTGATGTGAGTTATGTTTAAGACTTCTGGTTTACATACTTTTTCTTCTGCCCTTTCCTTCTAAATTACTTGGCTCTCCCAGTTATTTTTATATGAGAGGATTGTTCTTAGATATTTCAATTACTTTTGGAAACAGGTAGAGATATAAATA